TAAGCGTCTGCCTTCGGCCCGGGTCATGGTCCCAGGGTCCTGGGATCGAGTCCCACATCGGGCTCCTTGCTCAGCAGGGAGCCTGCTTCTCCCTCTCTCTCCCTCTGCTTGTGCTCTCTCTGTCAAATAAATAAAATCTTAAAAATAAATAAATAAATAAATAATAAAAAATAAAAAAAATAAAAATGAGGGGCGCCTGAGTGGCTCAGTCGTTAAGCGTCTGCTTTTGGCTCAGGTCATGATCCCAGGGTCCTGGGATCGAGCCCTGCATCGGGCTCCCTGCTCGGCAGGAGGCCTGCTTCTCCCTCTCCCACTCCCCCTGCTTGTGTTCCTGCTCTCGCTGTGTCTCTCTCTCTCTCTCTGTCAAATTAAAAAATAAAATCTTAAAAAAATAAATAAATAAAACTTTAAAAATGAAAAAGCCTTGGCAACACATCTTGTGAAAAACTTTAACAATGATATCCTACAGCTAAATGAGAAAATGAACAAAAATACACCTAAAACACAGAGAAGAAAGGACCTATCAAATCGGGGACAAATGCAGTATCCCCATTCCTCGGTGGTGGCCCTAAGAAAGGATGGCCATAGCACATCATCAGCTCACAGCAGGCAAGGGAATGTCGTCAGTTTGAGGGTTCCCATCTCTGGCTCTTGCACAGTCTCTACTAATATCAAAATGTCGCTTTTGTTTTGTTTGTATACAGTGCTAGAACACAACGGCGTGTAAATCATTTCCCCCAATCTTGAATCCCTATTTCTGAAGCTGTACCAAACTCTGCATTTTGTAACAAATCAATTATCTTAAATTGCATTTATAAAAGATACAACATATCAAAAAAAAAAAGATACAACATATCTTCAAATACCTCTGCTCTTACCAAATCAAGACCACAGAAAAAGACATATATTTTTTTTAAAGCATAATGATCTTAAGCCCCAATTAACCAGAGTAAGTTAGAAATAGACTCTTGGTGATTTTCAGGATAATCAGACCTCCTATTTTGTTTCAACTCTTATAAATGAAAACTTTACCCTTGGCCCTGAAATTATATTTTCCTGCCTTAGGAAGCAACAATAAAAATAACTCAATCCTGGGGCACCTGGGTGCCTCAGACTGCCTTCGGCTCAGGTCATGACCCCAGGGTCCTGGGATCCAAGCCCCGCATCGGCATCTCGGGCTCCCTGCTCAGCAGGGAGCCTGCTTCTCCCTCTCCCTCTGCTGCTCCCCCTGCTTGTGCTCTCTCTTCCTCTGTCAAATAAATCATCTTTTAAAAAAAATAAAATAAAAAATCACTCAATCCTTTTTAAAAATGTCTTAAAACTTTAAAATCCTCACATTAAACATTAAGAGACGGTTTAATAAACTTAGCCAAGTCCTGAAACCAGTATCATGGAATTACAGCATTTTCTAACTTGAATGCAAAAATGTTTTATTTCATTAAAATTTCATTTATGGGTCATATTCTTCATATCTAAAACTGAAATATTGTTTTTTTTCCATTTAAAAATCAAATAGTACGGACACAGATAATGTATGATATGAACTTCTAAAACTTCCTTTTGCAAAAGAATTCCTATGAAACTGCTTGGTTTTATGCTTTTCTGCCTAAAAGGGGTCTGCAGCCAGAAGATGAACTCTAGTTAACCGAAGGTTCCAGTTAACTGAGTTAGAGCTCTTAAAATGCAATACATTCAGAATTATTAATATTTTATCATCTGGGGTGCCTGGGTGGCTCAGTCAGATAAGCTTCTGCTGTCAGCTCAGGTCATGATCCCAGGGTCCTGGGATAGAGCTCAGCAGGGAGCCTGCTTCTCCCTCTCTCTCTCTCCCTCAGCCGCTTCCCCCTGCTCGTACTCTCTCTCTCTCTGTCAAATAAAATAAAATCTAAAAAAAAATTAATAAATAAAAAAATTAAATTATTTTTAAAAATCTATCTTATTTCTTTAGCAGTTATAGGTCTCCTATTTGAAATAAACGACATTTACTCCCAGCAATACAACTGTTAGATTAAGTATAATATTGAAGTCTGTATTCAAAGGACTTTTCCTCAAAGTTACTTCTGAAAAACAGGGTAACAAATTAAGAAACCACTTTCCAAAAAAGCAGAGAATTACAGTATTTTTAAAAATTAGACTCAGGGGCGCCTGGGTGGCTCAGATGGTTAAGCGTCTGCCTTCAGCTCAAGTCATGATCTCAGCGCGCTGGGATGGAGTCCCACATGGGGCTCCTTGCTCAGCAGGGAGCCTGCTTCTCCCTCTGCCTGTCGCTCCCCCTGATTGTACTCTCCCTCTCTCTCTCTCTCTAGCAAATAAATAAATACAATCCTAAAAAAAAAAAAATTAGATGCAGAGTGGTAGCCACAAAGCTACAGCCTTCAAAAGCTGCTACAGATTTTTACGGTCTAATATCCCCAACACCGCAATCAAAGATCCTTGAAAAATTATCTACTAATGAATTTCAATATCGTAATGCAGAATTTAGGTTTGTTTTATAGTCTGTAATGCCTTTTTCAGTATATAACATTTATCTGTCAGATGAAAATTAGGACATAAAAATACTATGCTGTCGAAACTGAGATAAGAGTTGTCCAGGATTCACATGCGAACAAAACAGATCAAACACCTCTCCATCTCGGGGCCTCTGTCCTAGTGAGGGGAGACAGACAATGAACAGAATAAGGCTGTTTGAATGGGATCAAGTGCTATGGAAAGAGAAAAAGTAAGGCAGGGAAGGGAGGGTTCAGGGGATCAGAGAGAGATGAAATTTCACAGAGGATGGCGAGGGGAGGCCTCACTGAGAAGTCTGTGTGCAAACAAACAGGACAATAACAACGAAAATTATTTCTTTGGCTTTGAAATACAGTCCGTGCTCGCATTAAAAAAAAAATATATATATATATTCATAAGCTTTCTATATGCTCCATTTCAATTTACTGTTTCTTGATCATGGACTGACTGGAGAGAAAGCAGGCAGCCTAGGGCATGCCAAGGATGTGCCTAATATTTTGATTTACTCGATGTTTTTGAAGAACGACAGCTACAAATTAAAGTGAAATTCGGAGTTCTCTATTAAACAACTAATTAATAGTCAACATGCAATTTATATTACAAAACCTAACATTCTCTCCAGCAATCTATACGTGATATTTATCCCATTAATAATCATTAGAGGTAGCTAGAGTACGGCCAGCAGTTCATGTCATACTGTCTTAGAGCAATAAAAAAGTCAGAATATTAGTTGAAATGATCACCTTCTAAAATGAGCCCACAGAAAGTGTCTCTACAAATTGCATACTTACATATAAAATCCACTTGTAACCCCCCAAAATGAAACCATTTTATTAGCATTTCTTGTAATACTCACAAGACATTTTCTACCTTGCAGGCTGGGGGAAAGAAAAAAAAAAAAAGAACCGAATAACTGATGTCTAAACTGTGTTTTTATTTTGAAGACTAATTATTCTTAAATACTATAAATGCACCAAGAAAAGCTTAGAAAGTCAACACATCTTTCACGTAAGAGTTCTGTTAGTCCACCACAATGAAGATATTTGATAGCTGAAATTTATATTTGTTGAATAACCCAAGTAATTCAATAATGAATAGCAAATGGAGGTGAATGGACAAACAAGAAAATACGGATTTTAACAAGAAATGTTATCACTGACTAAATATATTTGAACTGTTCCCAAAATACTCAATCCAAGCACATATTTTTGTGAAATGTGTGGGTTTTCCCCAAGACAAGCAGAACTCTGACATTTTCTCTTGGATATATTAGACTTTCAGACCTCCATTCCACATCTGGAAAGAACATTTCAAACTCAGCTTGATGTAACTTTTAAAAATCAAACTGAGAGCGATTAGATACTTAGTGACTGAGACTTGACTATGACACTCAACAATGTTAGAAACGAAGTATTCAAAGTTTATCAGCCCCAATGTGAAGATGAACACGGAACAAAAGACGCATTTGCCTCTTCCGCCCTTTAATTTGTGAACACCATACTTAACTCCGTCTGTCATGCCAAGGAAGAGAAAATGAGGGTTTTTTTTTAAAAGCTTGCTAATATGAAATATGACCGTTTCATTTAGATTTCCGTCAGCTCTCCCCCCCAGATTTTTTATTAAAAATAAAAAAATCAAAAGAATAGATCCAAGTCCAAGTCCTCTATTGACTACACCTAGATTACTTTGCTCCAAGGCCAAGGAAAATGTTTACGATTCCAAGATCCATTCGGAAGCAAGTATCTGCAATGCGTAAGCTTTTCGTTGGCAAGATCAGTCAATATCAGAAAGCGTGTACTGTTTAAAAGGTTAAGTGGATGAAGGTTAAAACAACAACAAAACAATTCACTAAGAAATATTTTTCTGCCAAGTAACCGTACAATAATGTCAGCCCTGAGGAACCGGAGAGGTTTCTGTTGAGGGTGGTATAAGCCCCTGAACGATCTAAATCACCGTCAGAAAAACTGCACCAAGGTGTCAGGAGTGGAGGAGATGCAGATTTCTAACGCGGGGTGAGCCCGCGATCGTAAACCTCATCACAATTTCACCTTTGGATGAAACGTGGGTGGGGAGCGAGAAGTTTCAGCTTCTGCTCGTCTGAAAACAGACAAGATTTAAAGAACCCCGGGAGGAGGCGGAAAGGGGCGAGGATGCGGTGTCCGCGGTGCAGCAGCAGAGAACCGGGATCCTTGGAAAGGGATGCGGAGGAGTGGGCTCTTATGTAAGCACACACCAAAAACTGTGCGTGCACCCCCAGCCTGATGCACATCTGAGCACACAACACACGCACACGGCCTCTCACCGGGGTGCACCCCCGCCTGCAGCCGCTGCGGAGGAAGGGGGACCGACCCCTGGGCCCGTCTGCACGTCCCCTCCAGACCCGCGCAGCCGCCACCCGGGGCTCCGGCGCCCCGCCCGGGGACGGAGCCCGGCTTCCCCGGCCCCCCGCGTCCGCCCCGACTCCCCCGGACCCGCCCTGGCCCGCCGCTTACCTCGCGAGGCCCAGACCCCGCCGCCGCTCAGCAGCCCGGCCAGCAGCAGCCAGGCGGCCGGGGCCAGCGCGGGCGCAGGGCGGCGCAGCATCGCTCCGGCTCCCGGCGCCGCGGCCGGCCCGAGGCGGGAGCGGCAGGCACGAGCGCGGGGCGCCGAGCAGGACTCTCGCGGCCCGGAGCCGGCTGCTTCGCGCCGCGGCGAGTCCGGGGTACGACGAGCCGCCGCCGCGACGCTGGGCCGCGCGCTCGGGCCGCGGGCGCCCTCCCCTCCGCCGAGGTAGCGCTTGGTTGGAGGCGGCGGCAGCAACTAAGATGGCGGCGGCGCGCTCTCTCGGGTCCGGCGAGGGTACCGGCGGGGGCGGGGTGGCGGCGGGAGGGGCGCGCGCGCGCGCGCGCGCGGGAGGGGCGAGGTGGCGGCGGGAGGGGGGCGCGCGCGCGAGGGAGAGGTGGAGAGGGGCGCGCGCGCGCAGGAGGGCGGGGGAGGGGCGCGCGCCTCGGATCGCCGGCGGAGCCCGGAGCGCGCGCCCGCGGGTCCGCGCCTGGGATGCCTCCCGTGCGGCGGCGAGATGTCTGGGGGCTGCACCCTTTGCCCCCGCTGCGGCCGAGAGCATCAGCCCCTCATCGCCACGCGCGCCCCCAGGCTCCGGAGCCAAGCGAGCGGTACCCTGGGGCCAGCGCCGGCCTTTCAGCCCTTCGCAGCCCCAGCCCCGAGGAGGGCAGACCCCTCTGGAGGGTGCAGCTGGGGCCCCTGAGCGCCAACACGTTGGGCCCCTTCGGGCAAGGCACGTCGCCTCCCAGAGTCTTGGTGTCCTCTGCTGCCAAGTGGAAGTGATGACAGGGAGCCTGCGGGGTCGTGAGAGGTTTTCAAGGAGATGGAGGTCAGCGAAACGCGCTTTGTAAACAGTCAGGGACCGCGCAGCACGTGCTGCCGTGGTTCCGCCCTGGGAGGGGGTATTAGCTGCCCCAGGGAGTCCGTCCGGAATTTGTAAATCCAGATCCCTTCGTCCGCTGGAGAAATCTGTGATGGCTGTTTAAGGACGGCTTGTGCGTGCCCTTTCTAGATGATCTGAGTGTGATGCCAGTGGTCCCTTAGAAATGCAGAGATCCAACTGGATAAAGAAGGGTTCCTGGGGGGGGGGCTTGAGTCCTCCTCTTCTGTCCTGGTTCCCCCACCTTCCTTCGGCCCCTGGGACCACCCCACGCTAGAGGAAAGGACTGGCACAGTCATGGATGGACCCCTCGGCCAGGCACTGTGAGACATTGTTGGCCCCATTTTGCAGATGAGGGAACAAAGACTGAAAGGCAAAATGGCATCCCCAGTTGCGACAGCTACAGCGAGAAGAACACTCAGCCATCAAGGCCAGGGAGGTGACATTAGGGAGGCCCCAAGAGCAAAAGCTAAATAACAGTAAAATGTGAATTATTCTAGACGGTGCTGCAAGAGCGATGGAAGGTGATTGGAACACTGTGGTTGTCATAGCCGTGAAAGCTGAGAGGGTCTGGCAGGCTGGTGGGCTTTGTGAAGGCCAGCTTGGGGTGGGGTTCAGGAGGGGGGCCCTTTTGGGGGCTGGGAGAAGTAGGAGGAGAGCGGAGGATTTATTTAGGAGGGTAGTGGGTGAAGAGCCCACAAAGTAGATTCAGGCCAGAGTGTGAGGTGCCTTCACGGCCAGATGATGCTCCGGGCCGCAGGAGGACCTTGAACAGCCGTGAACAGAGGCCTGATGTGACCTGATGGGAGTCTCAAAGCATCCTGCAATGGAATATGCTCCTCCCTGTCCTTTGTCCCTCGAAGGCATCCTCTAGCAAAGCCTGCAGATTCCATCTCTTCTTCCCCTGCCACCCCCTTCCCTGGGTCCAAGAGGACCAGACTCCCCTTGGGTGGACCCCTCCCAAGGTACCCGCCTGGCCCCTACCATCTCCAGGCCTCACAGCTCCACTCCTTTCAGCCAGCACTGCAGAGTCATCCTCTCCGAGCCTCCCCCGCCAGCTCCTGCTAGCTCCTCGTTGCCGCTTTATCTGGTCCAGACAGCTCTGCCAGGCTTCCCACCCCTCAACCTCAGGCCCCACCCAGCTGACCTCAGGACCTGCTCTCTCAACACAGCCTGTGCTCACGTTCATTTCTGCCCAGGGCCAGCATTATATAGCACATCCTCCCCCACCTTTGCTCGGAGTCAGACCTGGGCTATCTCCTGCAGGAAGTCCTCCTGAGCCGTCAGGCCAGCCCGAACCGGGCAGTCCAGGATTGACAATCTGTCACTTTGTGCCATTGACTAACTAACCCGTGTGTGTCTTTTTCTGCTCCCCACTATGTTCTAGGGGAAAGGACCCAGACAGTACCAGACAGGAACTCTGGCTGCTTCTACTATGAATGATCTCGACAAGTCACGGAACTTTGAGTCTCTTTCCTCACCTGTCAAATGGGATAGCAATACCTATTTCCTGGAGTTGTCAGGATTAAATGAGACGATGCAATGAAAGTGCCTCACAGAGCGTAGTACATAGTAGGTCTGAACACATAGGAACTTCTTTTTTTCCCCTCGGGGACCTTCTGAGCTGCTTGTGTCTGCTAAACATACAGTAGGCACTCAATAAATACTCAGCAATGAACTCAATGAATTCCTGTATTCATTTTTGTACTGTGGAGATCACACCTCGGAGGATAAAAAACATACCCTGTAGGTTTCCAGGGACCTTTGAGATTTACAAAACATAAAGTCAGAAAGGTATAAATCTCAGACCTATGTCTTGAGACAATAGGCTGATGCCAAGAGGGAAAATGTAATGTATTCAGTTCCATCAGAAACACAAACAAAGGCTCTTTGGTGTCTGGAATCCTGATCCCTTTATCTTCCTACCCTCACTGTCCCTTAAAGAAACAAAGAGGTAGATCAAAAAGGTTCGGCGGCAGGTGGGCAGACAGACGGCCGGTGAGCTCAGTGCAACCTGCGCACGCTGAGATTTTGCCCACAGGAGAGTTCGTCCAGCTGCAAGGCTCAGCTTGAGTGTCTTGGAAGCCAGGAAAACCAGTGAACTCGGTTTCCAGTCGGCCTGACAATAGCCTTGGCCATATTGGCACTTTGCAAAGGTCTCCACGTGATGGATTAGTTAATCCTCAAAATGGCCCTGAGATGGGGATCGATCCAGCCTTAACAGCTAGCAGAGAGGGGCCCCTCCTGAGCTGAGCCAGCCACTGAGAGAGCAGCACCAGGGGGGCCCAGAGCAGTGGGAAATGAGGCAGCACCCCAGGTGTGTCCTAGTCAGGGTCAGACATGGGAGAGTAAGGAGGGGGCTTTGATAACCAGGCCAAGGAAGACTTGAGCTTTTGAGCATATAGTCAACCCATCTGTGCAATAGATAGAAGAACACAGAATTTCCAGGGTGCTGCGTCTTTTGTAATGATTCCTGCTAGTAACAACAGTCTCCACTAAGCTCTTTACCGGGGACATTTCATTTTGCCTCCAGCAACCTTTCCAGAAGGTGCTTTTGTGCTAGATGAGGAAAATGTAACATTTGATAAAGAGCCCGTTGTTAGAAAGCAGGACACCTGGGATTCAATTTCATGTAGGTCTGAGCCCCAAACAATGCCTCAGCCCCTACGTGAAACGACACAACAAATACCAAAGGGGGGGCGGGGAAGCCCTATGCAAGATCCCGCAGCGTGGAGTCATCAGCCTGGGCCACCAGAGTCAGAGGTGGGGCCCTGCCACCTTCTGAAGCCATGGGAGGCATTCTCATCCAGCCTGGGTTTCTCACCAAGACAGTCATTCCCAGGTCCAGAGTTGCCGAGAGGAGGAAACATGGTCGCATGCAGGAAAACTCTTGGCCAGGAAGCTGAACCCCTTTCGGGTGGCGTGTTAGGACTGTAAGCAACAGTGTGCCCTATAGGGGCCAGTGTTGGTGGGACTGAGCTAGAGGGGTAAGCACTCATTGTGGCCACTATGAATGATATGCTTGAAAGTTGACCCACTTTAAGGATGCAGCAGAATGTGGCTGTGGGAATTTTGATGAGAGCCACCAATCAAATGCCTCCAAAATACTAAAACCACAACCCCCAGCACCACCACTAGGGTCCCCCTGGAGCCCCCGAAGTTTCAAGATCTGGCCCTGTCTCTGCCTTCTGGTGGCCTGGTCAGGTGTCTCGATGGCTGTAAGAAGGGATAGTTGATGAGGGGCAAGAGCAGCAGAGACTCCAGTTGCCCCCCCCCCCCCCCCGCCGCACCGGGCTCAAACACATCTCTATCCATTTCCTTTCCTTTTGCGGAATTCCCATTTAATTTTGTTTTACGGCCATATTAAATAGTTACAAGGCTCCAAAGGCAAATCCGGAAAACAAGGTGCTCGGAAAAGTCCGATTCCATTCACGTGTGCTCCTCCCTGTCCCTTCCTGCCCTTAAAATTACCATTCCGTCTGGGTTTGGCTTATCCTTCCACTGTGGGTTTTTAAAATACAAGCTAGGATTCTAATATACTACTCTCCCCTTTCTTAGATAAAAAGAAGCATATCACATCCACATCTTGCTTTTTTTTTTTTTTTTTTTGATGAATAAGATATCCTGGAGATGGTTCCATCTCAGGATCCCTTTCAGAGCTGCATTGCATTCTCTTGTGCAGTGTGATACTCTGATATAATAAGAAATAGGTAGTTGGTCTTCATCTCCAATTCCTAGCACAGAGCTGCTAAATCCCTTAGAATTTCCTGGGGGAGAGGAGCATCTTTTGTTGTAAAGAGGCAACTCTAGGCAGGCTCCCGGATGGCTCCTGGTTTGGGGCTGGTCACCAGAATAAGCAAGCCATGATTAGAAGCTTGGAACTTTCAGGCCCCTGCCCACCAAATTGGGGAAGGGGGGTGCTAGAGATCAAATTAGTGATCAATCGTCCAATGTGATGAAGCCACTCCAAAATCCCTCAACTGCAGGATGCAGAGAGCTTCTGGGTTGGTGAACACATCCACGCGCCAGGAGGGTGGTGTAGCCTAACTCCACAGGGACAATTGTTCCTGTGCTCGGGACCCTTCCACACCTTGCCCAATGTACTCCTCATCTGGCTATTCACTTGTCTCCTTTATAATAGTCTTCATAATAAACTAGTAAATGTAAGTAAAACATTTCCCTGAGTTTTGAGAGCCCTTATGGCAAAATATTGAACCTGAGGAGGGGGTCATGAGAATCCTTGGAAAGGTAGCCAAGTTAGACAGAAGTGGAGGTCACCTGGGGACCGGTTACTTGCAGTTGGCACCCGAAGGGGGGGCCGTGGGGGCGCCTGGGTGGCTCAGTCGGTTGGGCGTCTGCCTTCGGCTCAGGTCATGA